AAACATTCATGTAATGACTGAAAATAATCTTAATACCAGCAAGTATCAATTTGTGTTGTATTAGCAGGTGACACACTACCTAAAATGAATAATATAAACTAAATTTAAAATTGATCTGTTAAAAAGCTTGAGAATAAACAAAAATTATGAAACATTGCTTTGCTTAAAAAAAAATTAATGACTTATAACTATATTTACTACTTCTGGAACAATTTCCAAAAATGTTTATTCCAATAAAAACCTTTATTTGTTAACTTTTTCAATTTGTAGGTATATGTTTTATTAAAATTGTAAAAACAAATGATTTTATATTCCTCTGCATTAAGCAAATATTGTAAATATAATAAAAATGAAACAAAAATTTGTCAAGAGCTAATAATAGCTTCTGCTTAAAAATATCCTGGGCTTCATAAATGCAGCTGATTATGTCATTTGCTAAGTGTTTGCTTACGGATTTGAGGAGCGAGTTCCACTTTGGTGGCCCAGCACCAAAAGAATCATCGAGTCTGATCTTTAGAGGGAACAGGGAGAAATAAAGCGAGTGGGAGAGAAACAGAGAAAGAGACGAAGATGGAGGGGGAGAGATAGAGAGTCGGGACAAACGTGTGCTGTGTTACTGGGCCACTCCAGCGCCCATGGACTCTCAGCAAGACTCAAAGCCACACTCTGCTTCAAAAGGAAGCCATGAAGATTTTTTTTATGTTTACAAAAAGATATTTATTTATTTCTCGTCACTCTGTCATTTATCTATTTATTTCTCACTGTCCCAACACCCCTTGCTCTGCCACTGGAATCATGTTCGATGACGCTGACATGCGCGCCCTCCCCTCTTTTTTCCCCCCTCTCTTTTAATACCACTGCAGTTGAAAATCAAACTGCTCTAAAACAAATTGATGTACTCTTTAATATAGTCGTCACATCATCACAGGGTCCCCACGCGTCTGCCTTGGTGACAACTGCAGGGCTGCTTAGCTTAGCCCAGCGATGGCTGCCACTTTGTTGGTCGCTTCAATGATTTATCACAAAAAAGAGAGGGATATTGTGAGAGTGGGAAGAGAGAGAAAACAGGAGAGACAGAAAGAAAAGTCCCTTGGATCATGATTGAGTCACTGGCACCTTTGATTGACAAGGTCTAATCAGCTTATCTCCATCCTAATAAAGTTGATAGCCTGTGGTGCTGCTCTCTACCTGGCATGGTGTGAACTTTGGGCTAGGCTGGGGCCCCTGGGGGCCGGTCCCGGCCCTCTCTGCTTATCTAAACGGGACTGAAATCAATCCCTAATGAGCTGTTTTCATTTCGCAGGATTGATTACAGGCCCCTAAACACCAAGAACACTCGTCTAAGAAGTGTTCTCAGCCTCTTGCCGGCCACCTTTAAAATGCAGAGTAGCAATGCTTTTGTCTGTCTCCGTCTTTGTTTCAGAAGCTCATTTTGCTGGCATTGCTAAGTTATTTGTGTCAACTGAACAAGTATAAAGGGGGATGAATTTTCAAAGTAAATTCACTCCACATTTGCTGGTTGACTTATTGAGTCGTACAATTTTTAAATATCGCCTCAGAGATGCATTCACTCATTCATAATTGCACAAATTAAAAGTTGATTCATTTCATACTAAAATTAAATCTAAAAATTTTCAATTGCATTAAACCTGCATGAGTCGTGTCCCTGGAAGCAAGCTACAGAAGCTTCAAGCACACAAAACTGTTGCTATGACGAGTCCATAATTAATATTTAAAGTTTACCTTGAAGTTTACAATAACTATTCATGTTCTTCAACAATTGCACATTTACAGCACCATCAGCAAAGACTGGTCTATGTTGACACAACAAAGCAAAATTCATTTAAAGCTATTCGATTATTAGAATGATGCCAGTAAACAAAACAGTTTTTTTATTACCATAACTGGAAAATTCAGCAGGAGTTTGATGGAACATTTTTGTCTTGTATGAACTGTCGATCAGCATGTAAGACTCAACTCTTTCCCCCTCAATGAATAATAATCAAAAAGGTGGAATAGCTAATCATTGCAACTTAGATGTCTTATCTGACATGCTATTTATTTCTAAACAAGCAATCATAAATCATTCAAAATCTTTTCAACTGTGGAGGGAAGGACTAAACTCTGGCATGTCTTTGATTTAACATCAGTCAAGCCTCCACATTTGGGCATTTCAAATGCCCCTGACTCAAATGTCTTTAAATTGGCTAACTGCATGCCCTCCCTCTTTATTTAGGGCCCTCTTTAACTGGGCTAGCCCCCATGTCTCCTTGTTGCTATGCCTGCTTTTAAGTCAGTGCTCTTCACTAATGAAGTTCTATACTTTATTTATGAGACAAACAGAGGACCCTGGTTCTTGAGGGTGCGTGTGGTAAATAGCTCTGCATGTCCAAAGAGTCTCCTCTATATCCCTCTGAGGGCTCTCACTGCTTTTGGCAAGCCTTTGTTTTTGCTAAATACACTGGAGACATTGAGAATGGTGGGGGGAAAAAAAGCTAAAATCTGATAAAATGGTGCTGTGTGAAGATTCATCTTTTCTTAGAACTAAGAGTCCTCTTTTTCCCTTAAATGTGACCTAGAAGCATCCTGGCTTTTTTGTTCCTGGTCATTAAGAGATATATTGTCGACGCTGAAGAGAAAAGGGGGCAAAGCTGGGTTTCTACGCCATTTCTTTGTTCAGGATCTACCTCTTTGAAATAAAATGTCTTTTAGTTCCACTTCCCCTATTGGTCAATTACAGTTCTTAAAGGCTACTGTGTCATTGTGGATGGAGAATGCAACTTTGAATTACTGCAAAATAACGTTGCTAAACTGCTCTTCATGAAAAGTACAGCTTAGATGTCTGAGGAGAGTTGAGGTTTGTGGCAAGAAAAGTATTTACAGTCTGACTAGAGAGCGCCTGATTGGAGAAACACTTAATGCTCTAATTATTCTTGTTTAACGTCTATGGGTGCCACACCTCTGTGTGGTAAAACTCAAAGCTTATTCTTCAACAATTGCCAATGCCATTTTCATAATGTGCATGAATAAAGCATGGTGCACTTCTTGCAGTTTTATGTCATTATTTTGTATTGTTGTACAATAAACTGAGCTTGTGTTGGACTATAAAAATAAACAGTTTGCAAAAAGATAAATCCCAGTCCATTGCGTACTGTCTTAATACTCTAACAACTATGGCAGGACTATGATCTAAATAGTGCAGGATTTCATGAAGATGTCTGGGAAGTGTTGTGACGAGGCATTGCGGAACCACAAGAGTAAATATATAGTTTGAGATGGGTGAACAACACTAAATTAAAGACCAAACTGAATTTGGGATCAAATGGCGAACGCTGTCAAACCGTATAAACCAGTGGATAAATATGGCTACCTAATGTTTGTGCCCAGTGTGTTTGTTGAATTTGAAAGCCTGGTATATATAGTAATTAGGGTGGTGAAGGAGTGCATATTCCCTGTGTATCTATGTTCTTTGTGCAGATGTATTCCCTGTTTGACCCGGGGACATTGCCATTTCAGGTTGTGCATCTGAGCGGAGGGCTGGTATCGACAGCAGAGTAAAGGAAGGGGTCATGGATTAAAGACGCAGGGCGAAGCTTCCCCACCAAACCACAAACACAGCCCCAGCTGGTGTGGACCAAGCCAAGTGTGTGGGACCAAGACAGGATAAACGAGCATTGTTCTTAGCTAGCCGCACACTCAGTGGATGAGACGGCCACCAGTGACACAGGGTCAAGGGCCATGTGGCTGACTACGCCGAGAGAAACCGCCGGGCCCAGTAGGTACTGAACACTGTTAAGCCACGGCCCACTTCTTTAACACCAACCAAGCTGTGAGGGAAAACATCAAAAAACGAGCCACTCTAGTGAATGATGCGACTCGGTAGAATTAAAAAAAAAAAAAAAACCTGTCGGCTGTCGCAGAATTTGACACAATCTAGAAACTCGGATAACGGCAGGATCATCTGAGGCATTTGAATCAACATTTTTAAGCAGAGAATGTAGATTGTATTTATGAATTTGTGAATGCAAGTAACAGAGAACATCAAAAGCTGGTGGTCTGCGTGCGAACCTTCCTTGACTTGAATTATTAAATCTGTCGATGTCGCACACGCCAGCCACCCCGCGATTATAGTGTAAATTGACAAACTTTTTCAAAACTACAACGGAAGCCACAGAAAGCTGGTTGATACTTCAAGAATGAGCTTTGATACATCTCTGAGGAATACACTCTGCCTCAATAATGTGGTGACTGTCAGGAAGGAAGACAGGAAGAAAAAAAAATATGCTAACTGGTTAAATCTATTTAAGATCCCAATGAGCTTTTTTCCTATTTTAAGATAAAAACCATCCTTGATAATGAGGAAAAAAAGGAGTTTGTGTGTGTGTTTTTTTTGGATGGTTTATTTAGAAAGTGATATTATGTTTTTTTGTTTCTTCCTTCTGCACTCCTGAATTAAGAACTTCAGTAGGAACGCTGACGTTGTTTATTTTCATAGACCCCCTGTCTGTTTGTGTAAAAAAAACCCACCCACCCAACATACACGCATACATAACACACGCACACAAACACACAGCCACACAGCCACAGTGGTGCACGAATTTTCTTCGGGAGCAGAGCAAGGAGAAGCGGCGCCCGATCTGTCGCCTGTACACCTCTCTCTCTCTCCCTCCCTGGCTTGCCTTTGATGTGCTCCCGAAAATGTCATCAGGCGTCAAGGAAAGAGGTTTTTTCGACCCCCCACCCC